TGCAATCAAACTTTCTTCCTTGTTCAACCTTGAAATCACAATAATCCTCTTCGAATAAATGTTCGCAATCACGAACAACTGAGGCATCAGCAGGTGAAGGAGAAGAAGGCGGCGTTGAAGTTGAAGGAGAAGAAGGCGGCGTTGAAGGAAAAGAATGCTGCGATTGCAGTTGGGATTGAGCTTGCATCGGTGCACTGTGGACGCGATGGCCAAATGGATCAATTTGATCAGCCAAAAGCATCTTCACCAAAAACAACAAAATTGTCACGACCACAAGCGCCCGAATCCAAATATAGGATGATTGTGCCATCAGTGAAACAAGAGTAACTAAATCAACCAGATATTGAGTTTTGCTTGACTGCTTGAATAAGGCTGCTGGGTATTCAGTGTGCACATGTTGCCACTCTGATCCACTCTGTTTTTGCCTCACGTCGGTTCAACATGGTTCAACCCGTTCTTGATGAGCATCTGTGTGTGATGTTTTTCCCGAGAGCGTCTGAGCGCAGGGTTCTTCCAATAGTGGGGGTATAAAACACCTTCTCATCTTCACATCTTCTCATCTTCACATCTTCTCATCTTCACATCTTCTCATCTTCACATCTTCTCATCCTCACATCTTCTCCTCATATTCTCATCTTCTCCTCATCTTCTCATCTTCTCCTCATCTTCTCATCTTCTCACATCTTCTCACATCTTCTCACATCTTCTCACATCTTCTCACATCTTCTCACATCTTCTCACATCTTCTCATCTTCACATCTTCTCACATCTTCTCATCTTCACATCTTCTCATCTTCTCACATCTTCTCATCTCTTCTCACATCTTCTCACATCTTCTCACATCTTCTCACATCTTCTCACATCTTCTCTCATCTTCTCACAACTTCTCACATCTTCTCACATCTTCTCACATCTTCTCACATCTTCTCACATCTTCTCACATCTTCTCACATCTTCTCACATTTTTTCATCTTCACATCTTCTCATCTCACATCTTCTCCTCTTGCCCTCTTGCCCCTCTTGCCCCTCTTGCCCTCTCCTTCTTTTCTATGTCTCTTCTGAAGGCGGGGGCAGGGGCAGTGCCAACGAGACGGCACGAAACGCAACCCTTTCGCACGAAACGAGGTTCGATCGCCAAAAACTGAAGCAAAATTGCGATTTCCACCGGTCCCGCGCAACCCTTTCGCACGAAACGAGGTTCGATCGTCAAAAACTGAGGTAAAATTGCGATTTCCGGGTTCGCGTTGCAACCTTTTCGCACGAAATGAAGGTCGATCGCCAAAAACTGAAGCAAAATTGCGATTTCCGGGTTCGCGTTGCAACCCTTTCGCACGAAACGAGGTTCGATCGTCAAAAACTGAAGCAAAATTGCGATTTCCACCGGTCCCGCGCAACCCTTTCGCACGAAACGAGGTTCGATCGTCAAAAACTGAGGTAAAATTGCGATTTCCGGGTTCGCGTTGCAACCTTTTCGCACGAAATGAGGGTCGATCGCCAAAAACTGAAGCAAAATTGCGATTTCCGGGTTCCCGTTGCAGCCCTTTCGCACGAAATGAGGGTCGATCGCCAAAAACTGAGGTAAAATTGCGACTTTTTCTGTGTGTACAAAGCTTCTGTGTGCTGTGTGTGAAAGCTTCTGTGTGTAAAAGCATCTGTGTAAAAGCGTTTGTGTAAACGCGTCTGCTTAAAAGCTTCTGTGTGCTCTGTGTCAAAGTGTCTGTGTGTCAAAGCGTCTGTGTGTAAAAGTTTCTGTGTGTAAAGGTGTCTGTGTGTAAAAGCTTCTGTGTGTAAAAGCGTTTGTGTAAAAAGCGTCTGTGTAAAAGCTTCTGTGTGTACAATCTTCTGTGTGTTAAAGCATCTGTGTGTAAAAGCTTCTGTGTGTAAAATCTTCTGTGTGTAAAAGCCTCTGTGTGTAAAAGCGTCTGTGTGTAAAGCCGTCAGTGTGTAACAGAGTCTGTTGTGTAAAATTTTCTGTGTGTAAAAGCCTCTGTGTGTAAAAGCTTCTGTGTGTAAAAGCTTTTTTGTGTAAAAGTCTCTGTGTGTAAAAGCGTCTGTGTGTAAAAGGGTCTGTGTGTAAAAGCGTCTGTGTGTAAAAGCGTCTGTGTGTAAAAGTCTCTGTGTGTAAAAGTGTTTGTGTGTAAAAGTGTTTGTGTGTAAAAGCGTCTGTGTAAAAGCGTTTGTGTGTAAAAGCGTCTGTGTGTACAAAGCTTCTGCGAAGCGTCTGTGTGTAAAAGAGTCTGTGTGTAAAAGCGTCTGTGTGTAAAAGGGTCTGTGTGGAAAAGCTTCTGTGTGTAAAGGCGTCTGTGTGTAAACGCGTCTGTGCGTAAAAGCGTCTGTGTGTAAAAGTGTCTGTGTGTACAAGCGTCTGTGTGTAAAAGTGTTAGTGTGTAAAAGCGCCTGTGTGTAAAAGCGTCTGTGTGTAAAAGCGTCTGTGTGTAAAAGCGTCTGTGTGTAAAGCCGTCAGTGTGTAACAGAGTCTGTTGTGTAAAATTTTCTGTGTGTAAAAGCCTCTGTGTGTTTTTTTTTAAAAGCTTCGGTGTGTAAAAGCTGTTTTTGTGTAAAGTCTCTGTGGGTAAAAGCGTTGTGTGTACAAGGGTCTGTGTGTTAAAAGCGTCTGTTTGGTAATGTAAAAGCGTCTTGGGTGTAAAGTCTCTGTGTGTAAAAGTGTTTGTGTTGTAAAAGTGTTTGTGTTGTTTTGTAAAAGCGTCTGTGTAAAAGCGTTTGGTGTTTTGTAAAGCGTCTGTTCTGTGTTACAAAGCTTCTGCGATGAAGCGTTTCTGTGGTTAAAAGAGTCGGTGTGTAAAAAGCGTCTGTGTGGAAAAGGGTTCTCTGTGTGGGAAAAGCCGGTTGTTGTAAAAGCGTCTGTGTGTAAAAGCGTCTGTGTGTAAAAGCGTCTGTGTGTAAAAGTGTCTGTGTGTACAAGCGTCTGTGTGTAAAAGTGTTAGTGTGTAAAAGCGTCTGTGTGTAAACGCGTCTGTGTGTAAAGCCGTCAGTGTGTAAAAAACTCTGTTGTGTAAAATCTTCTGTGTGTAAAAGCGGCTGTGTGTAAAAGCGTCTGTGTGTAAAAGCGTCTGTGTGTAAACGCGTCTGTCTGTAAAAGCGTCTGTGTGTAAAAGTGTCTGTGTGCAAAAGCGTCTGTGTGTAAAACTGTCTGTGTGTAAAAGCGCCTGTGTGTAAAAGTGGGTGTGTGTACAAGTTTCTGTGCGTGTAAAAGCGTCTGTGTGTAAAAGTGTCTGTGTGTAAAAGCGCTTGTGTGTAAAACCGTCTGTGTGTAAAAGCGTTTGTGTGCAAAAGCTTCTGTGTGTAAAAGCATCTGGGTGTAAAAGCTACTGCGTGTAAAAGCGTCTGTGTGTAAAAGTGTTTGTGTGTAAAAGTGTTTGTATGTAAAAGTGTTTGTGTGTAAAAGTGTCTGTGTGTCAAAGCGTCTATGTGTAAAAGCTTCTGTGTGTAAAAGTTTTTGTGTGTAAAAGCGTCTGCGTGTAAACGCTTCTGTGTGTAAAAGCTCCTGTGTGTAAAAGGGTCTTTGTTAAAAGTGTAAAGTGTTTGCGATGCAAACTATTGTCTTGCACTTCTGCTATTTTGTCTTAATACTACTCTTCTCGACTGCCTGTAACACATCTTTAATATATTGTTTCTAATATGGTGTCTCCATACTAACAAGAGAAGACCCTGCTCCTCTACGCTCTCGGGCCATCCGTCGTCTAGTTTTTGTTATTTGTTTTCGATGATGTTATGACCTTCGATATACCCTTCCCGCACTTGTAGCTGGTTGTTTCTACTAATATTGCCAAATTATAAATATATGCATGTATTATAAATGCATATATGCGCATATATATATATATGACAACATTTATAACACATGCACATACACACATGTCACTTTGTCTGAAACTCATCCCTGTCCATCCATCGCCGTGGCGCGGGTGGCGCGCGCAGGTCTCTGCCCCGACGCTGCGCAGCAGCGCCAGCAGCAGGAAGGATGACATGGCGATGGCCAGTGCAGGTTTCGTCAAAGTCGGAACGCGCTGAAATTTGAAAAATCGCTGGTTTTATTGGATCGGTTTCATTGACCAATGACTCAAAAAAAGGTGGAAGAGTTCCCCACAAGTGTAGGTGACACGATCTTAATCGCATAGAAAATGGTTTACACATGTTTATACTGGAATAGTTTCATCAATGCGTTTGATGACGGATATCTATGAACAAATGATACCATAACATATAACTATTGGGAAGGGTCTGATTTTGTCAGAATTTGCTCTTGCTGGCCTTGAAGCGGTAGTGGAGGGCAGCTTCAATGATCCACGTGTTTGGAAAAAACCCAGGGTACCCCAACTCATCCCATGGTGTATCGGCCTATCTCCATTTTTAGACCTGTCCCCTCGATCAACCTGTAGCCAAACCATCTCAATTTCATCTCTCTCAATGACCAAAAAACCAGTTGGCCATCCTTACGTTCGGTGCTGCCAGGTCGGCATTGCTTCTTTGGTGAACATAACTAGCACTTCACAAGTTGGTTATTGTAGATATGTGCATATATATATATATGTATTTAAAAGGGATAAACTGGTTTCCAACTCCTAATGGAAAAGGTGGCAACCCTGTGCCCACAAAAGCCTGCTTGCGGCTTTTTCCTCCTGGAATGAGCAAGTCGGCTGCAGCATTCGGTCCATGCTGCTGTAGCACCTGGCCCAATGGAATGGCACTGCTTCTTAACTCCTCTTTCCTCGCAAAGGAGTACAAAAAGGACGCATACGGACAGTCCGTTTATACTGCCACATTTGCAGTGAAAAACCATCTCGGCATTGGGAAGGACAAAGGTTTCACTCAACCTAACACATGCAGCTAGATCTTGAAAGGGATCACTGGCGATAGCGGCGCATCTGGTTGGTACCAGGGATCAACACACCGGTCTCGGCATCAACTGCTCCGCTGACAATGAGATAATTGTGCAGGTCATTGCCGCGGGGACCCTTTGAGGCTCCTTTCTGGACCGCCTAGTTGCGGTATTCTTTGAACTTGCTAAGGGTGCCGATCTCATGGTATGTTGGAGCTTCCTCCTTCACCTCTGGCAAGGCGCAAATTGTTGCACCCCACTTCTCCACTGACTCCACACCTTCGGGAAGCTGCAGCTTGGTCGGCGGCTGAATCTAGGGAACCACTGGCTTCTGGGCACTTGACTTGGGAGCATCTCGGATCAGCTCAAAGTCCTCACTGGTTCGACCAGCGCACTTTTCGCCCAGCAGCTCATCTTCGGAAGATGGAAAATCATCCTGGTCTCGCAAGCGCTTGCTGCCATCACTCATCGCACCAAGGTGGCCTGAGCTCCACAGAGCTGGAGGCATGGGAGTTCCCTGAGCTTCCATGCGGGCGAGAATGTCTCGCACAAGCTGCATCTCCTGTGCTGTCACGGGAACATTGGAGAACGCATGGCAAAGTTGTGAGAAACTTGTCACACAAAAATTGTTGAAACGTGGCTCGGTTCTACCTAAAAATCTCAGACACGGAGCTTGGAAAAAGGCTGGCGTCCATTGGAAAACATGGACATGCATCAAAACTGGCAAATCTTCTGTGTTGACGATCACAATGAATTCACTTGGCCTGCTGCAGGAAACACCAAACCCGCAGGAATGTTACCATTACACTGCCAAAAGCAGTGACCTACATTCACTCGGTTTCCAAAAACGCTCACCAAACAAAAAGACATGCATTTGCTGGCTCGGCTGAATCTTCCACATGGCGTGTCTGTTGTTGGTTATTTTCCTTTCTGGCACGTCCAAGCTCTTGTCTTCGAATGCGCGCCTCTTTCTCATCAGCTAGTTGATATCGGGCATTCCTAAAGACTGACCTCAAAAGATCCAAAGGTTCTCCCTTGTCCTTGGTGAGGCCGTCTGCAACCATTCTATCCGTTGGCACCCAACGGGGTTGAAGGCGACTGCGAGCTATGGATTGACGGATAACTGCAACATCTATGGCAACACGCTTGTCATCTAGGGTTCCTCCACATCCCAGTGTTATTAAGTGATCGTAAAGAGACCTACAATCACTCATGCCAATTGGACTGCGACGTTGCAACACCTCGTCAACATTTTGCAGGGAAAACGAACCATCCAGAGCCTCTGACAAAATTAGCATGCACCACTCAGCTATGCCTGATGCACTGGAGAAGCACTGTGCTTCGCCTGCTAAGGTCGAGGACACTACTCTGGGCAGCTTGTATGACTTCCAGCCTACAAAACTCACCGGACTGTCATTTCCATCGGCAAACTTTTTATCTGTGAGGGCCATCAACCAACCACCTTGTGTTTTATGATTGACTGCATTTGCAAAGGCTGCATCAGACCAAAAACAAACGGTCAAATCCTGTGGTTTGATGTAGGGAACTTTGATTTCCTGATTTCCAAATCACTATGTTGTCGAGCTCGCCTTACGGCCTGATTTGCTTGAAGAAGGTGCTCAACCGTAGGATTGGGAAAACATTGCTGAGATAACGAAGTTTGAACCGACAAACCCGGTCTGGACTGACTGGACAACCAACCTAGAGCTCCATTCACGGCTCTCAGTGCAGAGATTTCCTTCTCAGTGGCAGGCTGCCAATGCTGGCGTGCTCTTTCTTTGGACAGCTTGATAGGTGATCTTTCTGGTGATATGAGATCTCTTTTGTAACAGGATCCTGACAATACTGAACTCCAAGAAATTCACTTGTCCCTGCCGCCATTTGCGAAAGGGAAACCTGCTGCGCAACGCTGCAATGGCTCGATCATAGGTAGGGCCTTTGCCCCAGTGATTGTGTCATCCACATGTGCCCCGCGGGGCGTTGCCTGTGAGTTTCGCCACCTCGACCTCGACATCATCTTGGGCTGGGGGCGACTTGAGCCAGCCCACTTTGGAATCAACCACGTCCCCAGCATCCAGGGAACGAAAGTCATCAGTGTGGAACTCCACATCCTTCTTCTTTTTACACTTCGGGCAATCCTTCTCAGGCGTGATGCAAAGGTGAAGCCTGAAGTTCCTCTTCATGGCCTCTCCCGGCCCTTCAGTGAGCCACCCGTACACGTGGGCGTCGCTCACGGCGATGAGCTTAGCCGACAGCCATACCCCATCTTTTGTCTTTTGTTCGGACCCATTGATCCTCCAGAGTCCTTTTCCTTGCCCGCCGTGCCGTTCATCGTAGAGCACGGCCTCCAGGTAGGTCCCCTTCTCCACCTCGAAGCTCTGAAAGAAGTCCGGGTTTTCGAAGAGGTGGACTGTGGGTCTGGCATTGAGGAACCGGTCCGGCCCTCAGGCCATGGTTCCTCACCTCACTGGCCTGCGGGCCTCCCAAGAAAAATCCGGCCCGCAGGCCCGCAGGCCACCCAAAAGAGTTGAAGCTAAAACGCCGCGGTGTGTGCACAAACCCGTGAGACTGCTGTGCAGGCAACACTCGTGGCAATATATAATTATATATAATATATAAAATAAATATAATGTAAATAATGTAATATATATATATATATATATTATAATGTAATATAAATATACTATGTAATATCCGCCGACCCCAGCCATCCGCAGGGGGAGCGCGCCCGAGAAAAAGTGGCTTTGCGGCACCTTTTCTTCTGATTTCAGAAAGCGACGTGAGGCAGTAGGCTGCCGTTAAACGCTTCCTGGCGCCCTAGGCCGCCCTTAAAACTTGCCCTTAAACCCTGCCCTTTAACCCTTCCCGGCGTCTGAAAGCAACGTTAGGCACTAGGCTGGCCTTAAACCCCGCCCGGCGCCCTAAGCTGCCCTTTAACCCTTCCCGGCGTCTTTGGCGGCCCAGCAGCATGTCCTCCTGCGCCCTTGGCGGCCCAGCAGCATGTCTTTTGGCCACCTGCCGGGCGCTTTCCTGGAGATTTTCTTCTGGTTTCAGAAAGCAACGTTAGGCACTAGGCTGGCCTTAAACCCCGCCCGGCACCCGAAGCTGCCGTTAAACCCTTCCCTGCGTCTTTGGCGGCCCAGCAGCATGTCTTTTGGCCACCTGCCGGGCGCTTTCCTGGAGATTTTCTTCTGGTTTCAGAAAGCAACGTTAGGCACTAGGCTGGCCTTAACCCCCGCCCGGCGCCCTAAGCTGCCCTTTAACCCTTCCCTGCGCCCTTGGCGGCCCAGCAGCATGTCCTTTGGCCACCTGCCGGGCGCTTTCCTGGAGATTTTCTTCTGGTTTCAGAAAGCAACGTTAGGCAGTAGGCTGCCCTTAAACCCTCCCCGGCGCCCTGAGCTGCCTTTAGACCCTTCATGGCGCCCTTGGCAGCCAAGCAGCATGTCCTTTCGCCACCTGCCGGGCGCTTTCCTGGAGATTTTCTTCTGGTTTCAGAAAGCAACGTTAGGCACTAGGCTGGCCTTAAACCCCGCCCGGCGCCCTAAGCTGCCCTTTAACCCTTCCCTGCGCCCTTAGCGGCCCAGCAGCATGTCCTTTGGCCACCTGCCGGGCGCTTTCCTGGAGATTTTCTTCTGGTTTCAGAAAGCAACGTTAGGCACTAGGCTGGCCTTAAACCCCGCCCGGCGCCCTAAGCTGCCCTTAAACCCTTCCCTGCGCCCTTGGCGGCCCAGCAGCATGTCCTTTGGCCACCTGCCGGGCGCTTTCCTGGAGATTTTCTTCTGGTTTCAGAAAGCAACGTTAGGCACTAGGCTGGCCTTAAACCCCGCCCGGCGCCCTAAGCTGCCCTTAAACCCTTCCCTGCGTCTTTGGCGGCCCAGCAGCATGTCGTTTGGCCACCTGCCGGGCGCTTTCCTGGAAATTTTCTTCTGGTTTCAGAAAGCAACGTTAGGCACTAGGCTGCCCTTAAACCCCGCCCGGCGCCCTAGGCTGCCCTTTAAACCCTTCCCTGCGCCCTTGGCGGCCCAGCAGCATGTCGTTTGGCCACCTGCCGGGCGCTTTCCTGGAGATTTTCTTCTGGTTTCAGAAAGCAACGTTAGGCACTAGGCTGGCCTTAAACCCCGCCCGGCGCCCTAAGCTGCCCTTAAACCCTTCCCTGCGCCCTTGGCGGCCCAGCAGCATGTCTTTTGGCCACCTGCCGGGCGCTTTCCTGGAGATTTTCTTCTGGTTTCAGAAAGCAACGTTAGGCACTAGGCTGGCCTTAAACCCCGTCCGGCGCCCTAGGCTGCCCTTTAAACCCTTCCCTGCGCCCTTGGCGGCCCAGCAGCATGTCTTTTGGCCACCTGCCGGGCGCTTTCCTGGAGATTTTCTTCTGGTTTCAGAAAGCAACGTCAGGCACTAGGCTGGCCTTAAACCCCGCCCGGCGCCCTAAGCTGCCCTTTAACCCTTCCCTGCGCCCTTGGCGGAACCAAAGACACATACGAAGTTTTTCTGCATCAAAATTGCCAAGTTATTGAGTTACGGCGCAATCACTCGAAACAAAAGTTGGACTTCTAGTTGAACCGCTGCAGTGTGTTCATTGACAGAATGGCCCAAGAGAAACAAGACTTCCACCCAAAATCGTGAACATCCGCCTCTGGACCATCAAACCTATCTGCTAGAGCCTGCGAAATTCAGAAGGCTTTGAGAAAGGTGGAAAGCAATGCAAAGCTGGTAGGATTGGTAGAACAGGTTAGAATCTCACCCATTTTCAGCATCAAGCAAACAGCAACCGCATGCTTCATCCACTGCAAAGGTATACCGACGATACACTCAGACAGTATGGTCAGTCATTCTGAACAGTTCTACTGTAGTGCCTTCTTAACATCCCCCAGGGGCACATCACGTGGAGATTCAGTCCCGAGCGGTCACCAGCCAGAAAGCAGCGCCATAAACGCTCTAGTTGTCAGACACGGATATCTCCAAGAACACACTGATGACAGTGTCAGTCCATTCTTTGCTGGTTTTTGTCATCTGTCAATCTTTACTGTGTGCACTCACCGTGATGTCAGCTTGCAATTTTTCCGGGGTCGGCGGCAGGGGCGGCAGCCCTTAAATAAATATAAATATAAATATATATATATATGTATGTCATATAGTATATATATATATATGTATGTATGTATGTAATATAGTATATATATATTTATACAATGTATATTATATATATATATATATGCAATGTATATATGTAAATAAGACCGTATATAGACCATCTATGGCCATCTTAGTATTGAAACAACGGTGACTTGAGGATCCCCTGTGACTGACTCACCAGGCCTGAGCGGATCCATGTTGATCCCAAGTCTCCAAAAAACAGGTTGAATCAAGTTGAATCCACTTCCATCCCATATGAGGAAAATATGATATGGAAAAAATTGAGGACACATGATAATTATGATATTTGGACAAATGGATTGGTAGAATTCTTATAGACAGATAGTTGATAGAATTATTATCATTGTTTCCATCAACTCTCCTATTTTCTTAGTCTACGAAAATATGTGTTAACATAGAATTTTGTTAAACGGTCATTTCATCAAAATCAAACTGAAGTTAGACTGATACTGATGATCGGAAACTATCTTACTGTAGATGTTTAGCGTGAAACACGACAGCGGAAATACGACGAAGAGGTCGCCTGTTTCGGTGACTGGTGCCAGGATCCCTTGATAAGGTGAGTAGATATTCCACAGCTGGGGTTAGATATCCACCTGGTGTTCGATGTGCACCTTTTCTTTCCTTTTCTGGGTCAATTTTTAGGCTCATCATTCGCAAGCTGTTATAAAATTGGAAACCCTCATCGAAGCCTAAACCATCGACCCTATCCCTCAAGCATTGTTGAGAGGGGCCAGGCCATGATCTCAGATCCAATGTGCCTGGATCTTTGCCAGATTTCTGAAGTGCCATTCCTGTCAGTGCCAAGTAAAAACAATAAGTTGGTTGGTGGTTTCAACCTACCCCTGGCCCTCTGAAAAATATAAGTCAGTTGGGATGATGACATTCCCAACTGAATGGGAACATAAAATAAAAAGTCATGTTCCAAACCACCAACCAGATAAGTTTCTTGAACCATATCACTTTACAAGGAGGTAAGACAAGCTATCGCCATCGCATAGATAATCTCGGCAAATTCCAACTCATGGTCCAAAATTGGAAAATCCCCCAACGAATAGCCATTGGTCCTATTAGCCTTGCCAGTCAAGTCGTCAAAATCTGCCCAAGCCTGTTTCGTGGAGTTCTTCCTTCCGCAAAAATATGACATCATACCCTCCGAAAATCAAACATGGCAATGGAAAATCCACCATCTATAGGTGATGTTCCTAGCTATAGACCTTCACTCATGTATGTATATTATATATAAGGTCTTTTCCGGCTAGCCGCGTTGAAGTACCGGAGGATATCCAGGTTTTGG